AGTTGGACAGAGGCTCGTACGCAATTTTTTTGCAACTTTCCCTATATAAAGCAATAGTGTGACTATTTTTTGCTGTTAAAATGGCACTAGCTACAGTTTCAACATCACCACTGTCATACTTAATTTGGAAATACCATAAGAAACGTCTTGTAACAGTCCACTGAAAAAAATTAAATTTAAAAAATGTTCACATTTCGGAATCGAAAGTCTACTTCTTGTAAATAAATTCTTTTGGGGTAGTACAAAACTATTTTGTGAGGGTTTCCGTTTTCTAGCAATTTCTATTTTATCTTTTATGCACTTAAATATGTTGCATAAAAATTGCTTTGTGTATTTATTATGATCAATAAATGCCAAAATTACAAGTTGACTTGTTGCATCACTGTTTTTATACATTTCTACAAGTTTTTGAATTTCATCTGGAATTCTGTTTCGGCATTTTTATCACCTTCAAGCACTTTTAAAAACTCTTCCGATTGACCAGACGCAATAGTTTCTGAAATTTTTTTTCTGAAGGTTTCTTCCATACGTTTATATTTATTTCGCATTTGTTGTTTTGTGTATTCATTGATAAGTTCAAGTTTTCTTTTAAACTGAAATTTAATTGGACTGGTCCCAAATCACGCTGGGATATTTTCTCTGATTTCATTTGAAGTATTAGGTTCTTCTTGATTTTGTAAAAACTCATCTGGTATATAATCAATATCAGTAGATATTTCTTTATTCCTTGTCTCAGAGTAGTATTCTTTTCGATGACGATTGCATTTAATTGAACCAATTGGAATGTATAAATTATAATGGGATGATATTTGAAGTGTCATAGATATTGGTGCGGGTCGTAATGCTTTCTTCCCTGTTTGTACTTTTTGATTAGGGTGCATACAATTTTTTTTTTGTTTCCATCCTATTCCTAATGTGTAGTGATAAGTACATATTTTCTCTGTATTGTTAAAATCTTTGTTTAAAAGATTTTCAATTAGAGATTTTTCGTTCCAATCACCTGGTAGCTCATAGCTCTTTAAGACCTTAAAAAAAATTTTTTTTTTTGCCGGCCATCTTTATTTTGATTTAAAGACAAATTAATAAAAACTAATTATTAGGATTTACAAGTTACAGTTAAAAATCTATTTAATCAAGAGTTTTTACAAAAATAGTATATTGTTATTTTACCTTAAGTTTGGTAAGATATGGTTGTATATTTTTAGTGAGTTGGCTTGTTTCAAACATTTTATCTATATTTGAAGTAGGTTGCATGTAAGGTCCACAATTATTCCGTTCAAAGCAACAACACGTATTGTAAGAAATATTTTTTGAAGACATTTGATCAAAATGTAAAAATCTTAACTAACTATAAATACGGAAATTTATTATAATATAAAATAGTCATACTCAAAATCAACATGGAAAACATATTCGGAATAAAAATGATACTCAAAAAATATGATAGAGTAACAAGGAAACATATCGAATTCAAGCGTTTATAAATAAATATAAAAGCACGAAGAAAATATCTATACTATTTATATGTTATTTTTTCTGAAATATTGCAATACCCCATAAGTATTTTTTATAAATAAGGCAGATTTAAGGTCAATACAAGTTTTTTTTAAATGAGTTTTACAGTGAACTCCGGGCTTTAGCCATTATCATGTCGCAATCAATGCGTAAAAAGATTAGAAAATCGTTTTTGAGTTCAATTTTTCGGCTAAGGCTTTGCTTCCCCATAGATGTTTTTATACTTTTAGGTACTTAACTAAATAAAGATTCATAATAACAAAAAATGCTGTGGGTTAATCGTGGCTTTGAATGAAAAAATGACAAAAAAAATCATTTTTAGCGTATTTTGAAGCATGATATTTAGACAAAAAAAAAAATTACCTATTCCAATTTTATTTATTTTTGGTCTGAACTAGCCAATAAACAATAATAAAGTGGAATACTCATTGCAAAGTATATAATTTTTTTTTGATTTTTTTGAATTTAAACATGCCTTCAACACCATTTGGTCAATATTTCGAAAAATTTAGTCAAACTTGGACATTTAATATCTAGAGAACCAATTTATATTTTTTGAAAAAAATTTGGAATTGAGCTTCTAATAATAATAGCAACAATATATTAAAAAATTAGCAATTTTGAAGAGGGCCACTATTGAACTCTGCCTGGTTCTTACAGAAAGTCGCTCTTAACTTTATTAAAATTATTATTTACATATATATTTGAAGACGTTTTTTAAATTGGGATCCTGTGCCGCAAACAAAGAGCTTTTGGGTCGTATAAAGTATCTAAGGTACCTCCTCCACGTTTTTTTTTCCATAGTTTTAGATGGACTTAGAAGTACGCATGGCAACAGGGGGGAGGGAGGGGGTCAACTTTTAAAATTTTTGGCGTACGTACTTTATGGACGACCTCTAATTGGTTTCAAAAGTTAAAGGATTCATAAAGTTTTAATTTATATAACGTTTCTATAAAATTGTTTTTACCATATTTCTAATAATGCGACAAAATTTTTTCAATTTTTCTAATAAAAATTTCTGTTTTTATAAAACTACAATAGAGTTTTTATTAAAAAGGCATTTTAAAAGTTTGTGCAAGTTAAATAAGATGTATTTTTACAAAAATTCCACGTAGTCTAAAATATGTTGATTATCTAAAAACTATTTTTATAAAGATTACATGATTTATTTAAAGTCTATCGATAATTGATCGATAATTGATCGATATATGATCTAAGAAAAGTGAAAACAAAATACCTTTAACAAAACATCTATTTAAAATATAAAACACCTGTAGTATGTAATTATGTATGTTTTAAAATTTTTTAATTTTAAAAACACGCAAATGTATGCTGGAAAAGTTTTCAACTCAAATATCTAGATCTAGCAGAAGTGTACAATTGTTTGCTGGAACATGCTGAATAGCGTACGGTTTTTTTGTATGCAAAAACATACATTTGTATGCTGAAACAGCTTTCAATTAAGCTATTTAGTTCTAGCAGTATAAGCATACTCTGCAAGGATAGCAATGGTATATTACCTCATTAACAGTTATTCCTCTAGGTGCTTTGCAATAAAACTTTGAATAAGGTGTTCGTAATTACTAATGTTTCAAAAATGTGTCTTTGGTATACCAAACTCTAAAATAAAAAAAACCGCGATAGCCCAGCAAAGCTTGCCAATTTATTTTTATAAAATTTTCAAAAGCATTATAATTATTTAATTTTTTCTTTTTGCAAATTTTGACTAAGAAAATAATATATATATATATATATTATATATATTATATATATATATATATATAATATATATATATATTATATATATTATATATATATATATATATAATATATATAATATATATATATATATATATATATATATATATATATATATATATATATATATATATATATATATATATATATATATATATATATATATATATATATATATATATATATATATATATATATATATATATATATAATATATATATATATATATATATATATATATATATATATATATATATATATATATATATATATATATATATATATATATATTATATATATATATATATATATATTATATATATATATATATATATATATATATATATATATATATATATATATATATATATATATATATATATATATATATATATATATATTATATATATTATATATATATATATATATATATATATATATATATATATATATATATATATATATATATATATATATATATATATATATATATATATATATATATATATATATATATATATATATATATATATAAATATATATATATATATATATATATATATATATATATATATATATATATATATATATATATATATATATATATATATATATATATATATATATATATATATATATATATAAAGTTTAAAAGATTATCTGAAGATAAAACTTACTTGAATTTTTTTAAAAATAATAAAACATTAAAAAAAAAATTATTATAAATTTAATATATTATTAAAATGTTGTCCAAATGCACAAAATAAAGCAAAGTATGACGTTCTAACATTTTTTTAGTATCTAAGACAACAAAATGTTCTGATTGGTAAAAAATATTTATTATTGGGATACGGGATAAAAACTAAAAGTTTCTTCCCCGCTAATCTTACGGACTGAGTTGAGAGACCATGTTAAAAAAAATTTATTTACATTGTTTCTGTGGTAACATTGCTTTCTTTTGTGACAATTATTGTTATATTTTTGTTACGTATTAAGAATTTAAAACTTTAAGAATTTGATATTTTATAAACATGCTCTTAGTTAACGAAACATGTTTACAAATCAGCTTTTTAATTATATGACTTTAGAATATCTGTTCATAATTATTTAAACATGGCTATGACATGTTAAATACAGCTTTCATAAGTATGTGCTTAAAAATTTATTAGGATTGTATTATCACACCAATACACTAATAGACAGAATACAGATATATAATATATACATACATATATACATATATATATGTATATATATATATATATATACATATATATATATATATATATATATATATATATATATATATACATATGTATATATAAGTATATATAATACTAAATGTTGTTATTATTATTGCTATTATTACTGTTACTATTATTATTATTATTTTTATTATTATTATTGTTGTTATTACTATTAATATTGTTGTTGTTATTATTATTATTACTATTGTTATTATTAGTATTATTATCATAAAGATTTTTGTATTCAATGTGTACAGTTGATAAATTTAGGTATCACTATGTAAAAGAAGTATAATTTATCAAGTGAAAGCAATCAGATGTTTTCTTTTTAATTGAATTATTGCTTTATTGTTTTATTATTTTAACATTAAGAAAAAGTTTTGTAAATAATAACTGTTTTAATTCTGTTCCAATTTTTTTTTCTGCTACTGCGTTCATTTTTTTTTTACTATGAAAATATTATATTTTTAACATTCTGAGAATAATAGTCTGTTTTTTGATCTAGATAATCTAAAATAAAATGTAATTTGGTTGCCTAAAATAATAAAATGACTTCTGAAATGCGTCAAAATACTGGTGGTATAGAGGAAGTAAGAGCATACATGGAATCCAAAAAAATTCCTCAGCTGTTTGAGGTTTTTTTTATTCAAAAATCTAATTTTAATTGTGTATATATATATATATATATATATATATATATATATATATATATATATATATATATATATATATATATATATATATATATAACATCATATCCATATTTTTTTATACTTTAATTTCTTAGAGTTTGATGACAGCATTGATGTACAAAAAACCACCTGATCACATTAAGTTTCTCATAGAGTGTCTTTTAAAAGCTAAAGATGATCCTTTTATAAAGTGGCACTCTTTTTGCGAACCACTTCCTCCCATTGTGAAGAAAATTAGTGTTATTAAATCTGAAGCTGATTTACCTGGTGTAATTAGTAATAAATCATTTAAAAAAGATGAAAGTCCTTTACCCCCAATTTCTGAACAAAGGAAACAAAGTATTGTTATCAGAGACAGATTAAGTTTTGGAAATTCTGGAAGTTCTGGAAGTTCAACTGATTTTTGGTATTCAGAATACACCAACCGTAAAGTAGATGTTTCAGAAATTATAAAAAAACCAGTGATATTTGTGTTGGGTAATTTACTTATAAATTATTTTGTACATTACATAATCTAGAACTGCGCTTAAATATTGTGTCTCTAAGAAAATAAAATGAAGTGGTGTATAGCACCAGTTATAATTGACCAAAAGTAGGGGAGAGTTGCTTTAATAGGAACAGTGCTATAATCGGAACTATTTTTCTAGTAAAATGTCTTATTTTCTACGTTTTTACAAATTTTGAAAATTATCCCTCGAAAAATACATGTGCATCATTGATTTAAAGCTTTTTTGCATCTTTTTTTTTTTTTTTTGGTTATCTTGTTTAGTGTTCACACTATATTGATTTTGCTGGGTAAACTATACTGCTATAGGTTAAACAGTTTTTTCTGTTTAATGTGATGGGATTTAAAATGCAAAAAATCAATATAAGCTAATCTTATAGGTTGCTGGAACTTTTTTTGGTTTTTTTACTTAATCAGTTATAAAATCAAAGTAATTAATTCATATAAAGTACAATCTTATCATAGCAGAATGTATATTTTTAAATATCTCATTTTAAATAATTTAAAAGATTTTAGTTTTTTTTTTTTTAATTTTGCGTTCTTCATTTAGGTGGTCCAGGTAGTGGAAAAGGTACTCAATGTGCAAAATTGGCTGTACAATATGGTTTTAAACATTTATCTGCTGGTGATTTACTTCGAAAAGAAGTTGAAAAGGGAAGTGAAATTGGACAAAAAATTAATGAAATAATGAAAGAAGGACAACTTGTGCCAGAAGTATTTGTTAAATTTATCTTAATCATAATTTAAATCAATTTAAGTTAATTTAACTGAAAAATTCAAACCATGCATAATTTCAAATTAAATTGAAATGTAATCATTATTGTATTGCTGTTTCTTATTACTCATTTTTATTTTTTGGTTTCATCTTGTTGCTCATTTTAATCATGCAGTATTAGAGTGAACTTGAGTTGTTCTTACAAACTTATCAGTTAAATTTATATTTAAGTGTTTTAAGTGTTGTAACTTTTTTTTTTTTTATTAAACTTAAGTTTTTCATTTATTTTCAAAATCCAAAAAATAAAAATATAATGATTTTTTATTTGGCTAAATAGTAATATTTAAAAAATCAAGTAACAGTTTTGAGCTCTAAGGAAATACAATCAAAGGAAAATATAGGTTTTTAAAATATAAATTTTAGATTTACTGAAATTAATTTTTATATAGTTATATAAAAATTATATTTGAAGATACTATCTTTTAAGAATACAACAGACTATCAAATATGTTTTAAATTTTGTTAAATAAAAATTATCGAATTGCCATCTGAATTTTTTTAATTTAAAATTTAATGCTGCTATCTAAAATTTTAGTATGATTATCAACCATTAAATCGCTAAAGTGAAAATTAAAGTGAAATTTTAGTTTCTAAAATCTTAGAAACTAAATAAAAAAAAATTAATCCAGACATCATTATTTATCTGAGATGATAAAAAAACAATCAAATATTGTATTTTATAAATACACAATGGTTAATTTTGCACAAAAAAAAAAAGTTATTTTTTTAAATTGCGAATTCATTTAGTACTATTTTTTTAAATTGCGAATTCATTTAGTACTATATTTAGGGGTAAGTAGATATATTTTGTAGAACACACCTCTTCTTAATTTGTTAGGTTGGTGTAAGTGATGTTAAATGGTGTATATAAAGTGTGTCCTGTCTAGGATGATGAATGCTGAATCTTTTAGACCATCTATGACTTTTTTTTGTGCCTCCTTAATAGTAGTTATGCAACTTTTGTTATCTCCTAACAAAGGCACTGCCCAAAATCAGTTTATTATGTTCTTGGTTTTTTAAACTTTGTGGTAGCTCTCAGAGAGGCTGATCCCTGATGATCAATCAGAGAGGCTGATCCCTGATGATCAATCAGAGAGGCTGATCCCATTATCAATTGTAAAATATCAGAGTATTTACAATGCTATGTTTTTCTTGGATGGTGTTCTTATTAGGCCACATAAAATGCCCTATGTTACAACTTTTGGTTACTTAGCTCTATACTGAATTCAACAACAAATGTTGTATATCGGTCCAACATTTAACGCAACATTAGATTGATGTTACAAATAGATGATTTGCATTGCTACATTAAAATTTATAGAGAAATAAAAGCAAAAATGTCTGATAAAAGTGTAAAAATTTATGTATTTAATTTACATAATTTCTTCGTTAAATATACATATTGCAAACTCCAAACTTAAACCAAAAACTAACACGTAAAGTTTTAAATAAAAAAAAATTCCCTACGAAATTATAAGAGTAGTTTCAATATTGGCTGAGCTACTTGTTATTGAATTGTGTTTAGCTTATGATATTTGGTCCCCACAGCTATCAGCTTTTCTTCCACCATATCTATCACATGCCTGCGTATTAGACTTCACAGCTTCTGCAAAATGTGTTGTTTGTTTAATTATGCACCAAAGAAACATAAGAAATTGAAAGTAATTATGTAATGCACAATTGAAACTGAAAAAATAACTTTTCTAAACCACTTACCAATAGCATCATATGCAATCAATATTTTTCCTATTCTGATTTTTTGTCTTCTTCCTGCACAGTTTAGTTTTAAAGCTAGACAATTTTTAAAAACTGTTCTTAGTAAATAACATATACAATCTCCTTTGTCTTTAACTCGAATTTGTCAACAATATACAACCTGGCAATAATTAAATTTATTTTAGTTAGACTTAAATTATTATAAAATCTTGTTTACTAAAAATCTTGTTTACTAAAAACTTTCTTATTTTGTTTAAAGTACTTAATTTGTATAAAGATATCATACAAAATGCGTAAGTGGATCATAAAAAAATATTTGCCATATGCTAAAATATTTTCTTGTTTTTTAATTTTTCTTCTAGAGTACTTAAACTCTCTACTGCTTTTAGTGGCAATGACACTCTGTCATTCTCTACTGCTTTTAGTGGCAATGACACTCTGTCATTCTCTACTGCTTTTAGTGGCAATGACACTCTGTCATTCTCTACTGCTTTTAGTGGCAATGAAACTCTGTCATTCTCTACTGCTTTTAGTGGCAATGAAACTCTGTCATTCTCTACTGCTTTTAGTGGCAATGAAACTCTGTCATTCTCTACTGCTTTTAGTGGCAATGAAACTGTCATTCTCTACTGCTTTTAGTGGCAATGAAACTCTGTCATTCTCTACTGCTTTTAGTGGCAATGACACTCTGTCAGACAAATCATTAATTAACATATCTTTGTTACTCTTTCTAATTATCCTTAAAATTAAATTTGATATGTTTTGTAGTTCACCAAGTAATACCACCTACGTATCTTTAGGGAATACAATTATATCTTGAAACAATAAAGTTAATAATATTCTTTAGAAACTATACAAAAAACTACATATAAAATTTAGAGTTTATGAAAGTAAATACAACATTCACTAATAAAGTAAATAAAACTAAAGACGAAGGGGCAAATTTTCAATGATAAAAATATATATAATATAAAAATATACTTGCTGATGAATTAATAATATTTTTATAAATTTGCTGGTATGCATTCAATTTCTGGCACTGACACAAAACAATTCTTGTTAACATTTGATATACAAGGTGCACTGTAAAACAAAAAAATTCATATTAAAACAAAGTTTCTCCCATATTTGTAAATTATTATTTTTTAACATTTTTATTTTGAATATTAATAATAATACAACTTCTAAGAGTAATATCATCTATAAAAATATTGTTTTACCTTTCATATTGTTTATTAGATAAATATAAACAAACGTTTATACAATGAATAATAATGAACCATCATTAACTGTTAAAACTTTAAAAACATAGGAATACTATGTTTTTTTTTTCTAAGAGTTGATTTCAAATGGTTTTCGAAGTTGGTTTAGGCTTTGATATGTTGGTTATTGCACAATAAAATGTTCATTAACACTCTGATTTTTTGACTGTAATATATGAAAAAGTCTTTAAAAAAATTTTAAAAGTTAAAGCTATGAATAAAGATTTCCAATTGTGAGACAAAAAGACTTTTGAATTAAAACTTACCACTTAATAAATTTTGTTCATTCAACTTCTTAGAACAAACATTGAACTTTGGAGTTACAGGTAAATCCCAAGGTTTAATAATATTTTTTGCATTTTTATATGAAATTGAAAATTTCATTGAAAATAAATTGAGGATCTTTAGTAAAATAATCTGAAGAACCAAGACACAATTTTTTGTCTCTTCAATCTTTATTTTGGCTAATCTTTTTTGCTATTTTCATTTTTTGCTCCAGAGCAGAAGTTTAGCCTTCTGCTAAGTTCAATCTTGGATTGCTATAAAAAAGTTCAATCTTGGATTGCTATAAAAATTTATAAATCAATTCATTAATAATTTAGTTATAGCTAGAGTTAATTAAGCTTAAAGTTGTTAGACTTGTAAGCAAACTAAATATGAATGATATCCAATAAAATCAATTAAAAACTAATAAAACCGAGAATAATCTTAGAAAAGTCCTTCTGCCTCAGAAAGATGGAATATATACAGGGCTTTTTTGATTCCAATCAGTTGATTTAAATTGAGTTATATCATGATTCCAATCAGTTGATTTAAATTGAGTTATATCATGATTCCAATCAGTTGATTTAAATTGAGTTATATCATGATTCCAATCAGTTGATTTAAATTGAGTTATATCATGATTAGAATTGGACGAATAAAAATCTGAGTTTTTTGATTTGAATTATTTTTAATGATAATTTATTAATTTATCTTAATTTTGAGTCTTATAATTCAATCAATTATTATAGACTAGTCATTGGACTTATAATAAAATTTCCAGCAATATTAGAAAGCTCTACATAAGTAGAATTTAGATTCTAGTAACATCACAAAAAATCAAACAAAAGAAACATTTAAAATGTAAAACAGCGGCTTCTAACAACTACAATACCCCTGTAGTAGTCATATATAAAATTTTATATCTAATGACACTAGTGATGTATAATTTGCAGGTATTATTAATATCTTTATGAACTAAAAATTAAACTATTATGAATAAATATATATATTTTTTTAATACTTATTACTGTTTGACATTTTAAATATTTGATTTATTTAATAAAGAAGACATTTTAAATGTGACACTGTAAAAATTTTATAGGTAACAGCTTCTGTATACTTAGTCTAGTCCTTTCTCATTATCTCTCACCCAGTATTGTTGATATTGTTGACTTCTCTTTAAACTGAAAAGGGAGGCTTTAGTAAAACTGATTCTGAAAGTATTAAATTCAAAACTTTTGTCTTTCACAATATTTTACTTAAATAGTTAATTTTGTAACTCATTTTTCAGACAACCCTAATCACTTGATATATTTTGTCTCTTGGATAATAATTGTACCTCCTTTGTAATCTCCTAGATTCAGTTAGGCAAAGAAGCTTTTATTCTTTTGTGAAGGTTTTGAGTCAAACCTCTTTCTCAGTCATGGTTTTCATCTACCTGTGCAGCTGCTGTTTCTAATCATTTCTTTTTCTTCACAAGAAAAACTCTCTTAAGAATAATTACCTTTTTATCATTGCAAGAAATCAGTTTAAACAATGCTGTCTGATGCTTAGCTCCAATGTTCTCAGTTTACTAAATCTAGTATTTTATCACAGAAGTTAGGTTTCTAGAGACTTTTTGAAAATTTTTAACAGTGTCATTAACAAGGCAAGTTTAACGTTCCATCTTTAGTTCTTTAATTCTTGTGTCTGATCTTATAATAACTTTCTCAAAAATAAAGCAAAGTTAATTACTTTTATTTATATTTTTTCTTTGTCATTAATTTTGTAGAAGATGTTGGTTACAAGTAAAACCATAGAGCTAGTACTGTATACAGTATACTAAGGTCTCTCCTTTCCTGTAAATTTTGCATCCTGGGATTCCTAGTGTGCAGTTTTCCTATCGTGGGATTCTCTGGGATTCTGGTATAATTTTTATTTTATCTAAAATCATAGTTTAAATTTAATAACAAACAAGCTGTTTCTAGCACAAATTTATATTAGCACGCTATATTATTCAATAAATATGTTATACAAATTTATATATGCAATCTATATTATTTTTTGAATAAAATACTGTTTTAAAACCCATAAACAATCAATTGGCTTATCAGTATTACCACAACTTTTGTTAACTATTTTATTATTTGCTAAAATATTGATAACATTTTTAATGTATAACCTGTAAAAAGGATGTTTTTAATGTTTGTAAGAATTTTGAATTGATATTTGATTTGTCCTTATAAGTAAATGGGTTATTTAAAAATTTTAGAAATATAATCTTCAGAAATATTAAGATTTTATTTTAAATAATTGCTTTTAATATAATTGTTTTTACTTTATAATTGCTTTTAATTGTTTTTACTTTATAATTGCTTTTAATTGTTTTTAAGTAATTTTTTATAAATCTTTTAGTAAGAAATCTTACTGATAAAATTCTTTGACCTTACTTTATTTTTATCATCATCATCATCATCATCATCATCATCATCATCATCATCATCATCATCATCATCATCATCATCATCATCATCATCATCATCATCATCATCATCATCATCATCATCATTATCATCATCATCATCATCATCATCATCATCATCATCATGATTATTATTATTATTATTATTATTATTATTGTTATTATTATTATATTTATTGCAGAAACATTGAAATGTTTTAATAAAACATTGCAGAAAATGTCAACTTGAGTTTTTTATGAAAATACATTAGGAAAAATTTATAATTAATGTATTTATAATTTTTATTAATTAATGTATTTATAATTAATAATTAATTAATAAATATAATTAAAAATAATTGTAGTGCCCCTCCTGGCTTAAGGGATGTAAATTAAAAAAAAAATATTCTTGACATTTTACCAAAATTACTATTACTATATATATATATATATATATATATATATATATATATATATATATATATATATATATATATATATATATATATATATATATATATATATAATTTTGATAACATAAATTAGAGGGGAACACAGCAAAAAAGAAATTAGAAAAACTCAATATATATATATATATATATATATATATATATATATATATATATATATATATATATATATATATATATATATATATATATATATATATATATATATATATATATATATATATATATATATATATATACATATATATATATATATATATATATATATATATATATATATATATATATATATATATATATATATATATATATATATATATATATATATATATATATATATATATATATATAATAATAATTTTGATAAGATAAATTAGAGGGGAACACAGCAAAAAAGAAATTAGAAAAACAAAAATTGTTATATTTTAATTAAATAGTAAAATTTGTAGATTGTGAATAGTTTTTCTTTATGCACTATAAATAATTTTTGATTTAGGATGTAACCATATGTTTGTTGAAGGAAGCTATGGTGGAGAATTCAAAATGTTTAGGTTTTCTAATAGATGGATTTCCGAGAGAGATACAACAAGGAAAAAAGTTTGAGAGGATGGTGATAAATTTATTTTATAACTTAAAAGTATTATTGATTGTATGTTTAAAAATGTATATGTTCCTAATAACGTTTTTGCTTGACAGGTTTGTTTTGCTAAAATGGTTCTTTATTTCGATTGCAAAGATGATATTCTTGTAGAAAGACTGTTATCACGAGGTGCAACAAGTGGTCGCTTAGATGATAATGAAGCTACAATTAAAAAAAGATTGTCACTGTTTCATGAAAAAACTGAACCTGTTGTTTTATATTACAAAGATATTGTAGAAAAAGTACAAAAATTTTAATAAATATAAATATCTATAAATTATTGAATAATTATGGTAATAACAATAGTAGTAATAATATTGATAATGAAAATAATAATAATAATAACAATAGTAATAATATTAATAAAAGTTACATGTCATTATATGTCATTGTACGATAAGTAAATTATAAAATATACTTAATAGATATGTGCTGACTGTAGCATTGAAGAAGTTTTCACTAATGTGTGTAATGCCATTGATTACAGGATATTTAACAAGTTTGACATTAAAAAACCTGTTATCTTTGTTTTAGGTATTCTTTTTTTAAATTTTGTTTTGAAATACTACACATGTAAAGAATGTATTCAGAAATCTGCAATCTAATTTGCTTATATTTAAAGAAAGCATGTTGTAAATCTTTTTTGACCACAACACAATAAGGGATACTGTTTGTACACCTTACACAATTTTTACACATTGAACATTTTTATATACGACAATTAAAAAACTTTTAGATATTTTACTGAATGCAATAAAATGTTAAATTAATCTTTTATATATTGAATGTTTTATTATTTTATGACGGCTAAGATAAATTTATGATAATATGACTTAACAATTTTATATTTAACGAATTTAATTAATATTATAGACAGAAAAACATAACTAGGTTATAATAAGTTATTTCTTAAGTCTTTTATAAAATAGACTTTTAATTAGATTTAAATCACAAGGTTAAGCAAACTGAAAAAATATAGTTTATGTGTACAAAAATAAGATAAAAATGTATACATCAACATATAAAATGTTTTACTATTATAAATATTATAGTAGATGACTGTTTTAATTAAAACTATTTTAATTAAAAGTGTTTTAACTAAAACTTTTCTAATTAAAACTGTTTTAATTAAAACTGTTTTTATTAAGGCTGTTTCTATTAGTTAATGTTTATTAATTAATGTTTATTAATTAATGTTGCTATTATTAACAAGGTATTCAAAAAACTTTAAATTGATATCATCAGAAAAATAGTTAAATTTTTTTTTTTAAACTCATATTTTATAAGATATTTTATTAAAATCAATTTTAACTTTTTAAGGTTTTAAGAGTTTAGTAACCTTATATTATCAACTGCTAAAGCAAAAAAAAGTAGATTTCTGTTAGAGGCTCCACATGCCCATATTGAAAGATTCCTGTAAATTGATAAATTTTCAAATTGTCAACAGTTCAAAATTGCACATTATAAAAGTAGGTTTTCCAGTGAACGAGTATAGTTCAATGTTCTTAAAACAACTAAAAAAACAATATATATATATATATATATATATATATATATATATATATATATATATATATATATATATATATATATATATATATATATATATATATATATATATATATATATTTATTTATTTATTTATTTAAGGTGTTCAATTTCCTAAGGCAGCAGGGGCCACTACAGTTGTGAAGGCTACCTTTTTTTTTAATTATTTTAATTAGTATTGCAATCCTCTTTCAGCCCTTAAACTTTGATAAACAAGGCTGTTGCACAGAGAAAAAAGATGGGGACAGCACTACCAGGAATATGATGGAGATCAAATTCAGTACTTCTTGTATACCAAACTCTGCCACTACATTACTTCAGCATAAAATTATATTGCTGAATCTTTAAAATGTAGATGTTTCAAAAAATGCAAATATTAAGAAACATTTTGTATTTTATGTGTGTTTACTAAAATTTTAATTTTTATATTCTTTTTTAATTTAGGTTGCAAATTATTTCCTCTGGGGAAAATTAATTTAAATAATTATTTGAAAATAATTGCTTTAAATAATTTATTTTGAACCAATTAAGTTGTGATAGTGTTATATTGGTAGAGCTCCTGCTTGTTAAGCTAAAGGTATCGAGTTTCAATCCCACTTGACCCTGTTAGTCCTGCACCCAAGAATGTATTTAAAAAAAAACATATTTGCCAAAAAAACCTAATTACAACATAACAGAAATAAAATTTGTTAGAAAAACAATCTAAGCAACATTTTGAAATAATTTTATAAAAGCTTTTTTAAATATGTCAAAAGCTATTTTAAAATATTATCCTTTTGTATATCATTTTTTTAATGCACTTTATTTTGCATTACTTGAAAATCAAATTAGTTAAATATTATTCAAATATATTTTTTTAAAGCAATATCAGAATAAATGCTTTGAGATTTTTTAGTAGATGCATGTTTACCTGTTTTTTTTATCAACACACAAATATGCATTTCTGAATTTACTAAGTACGTGAATGTGTGTATGCTATGTGAAGTATATGAATGTGTGTATGTTTACTATATACGTGAATGTGTATGTTTATGTTAATAGTATAATATCTACTATAGGAATTGCACACCAACCTTTTTAATTACCAGTAATTTAAAAAAAAAATTGATTACCGCTTAACCGGTAATTGATTATTTATTATTTATTATTGATTAATCGATTATTACTTTGACAAATCATCTATACTACTGTCACTTAATTGTGATCTTACTTTTGTGGCAATAAGCTTTGCAGCAGAGAAGGGATGTTCTGCTTCAAGACTTGTTAGGCGATTAGTCAAAAGATAATCATATACAACTTTTAAATATTTATTACAAATATTTCTTTCCTCACAATACTCAATCTCCTATTCCGAAAGTTATTTTTGTGACTCATTTTCCTGACAACCCTAATCATTTACGTTTACTCCTTGATTTGTCTTGTCTCTGATCCTAGCCTATGTACAGTTTCTCCTTTTTCTCCCTTAGGTGGTTTTGACCATGCAATGACGTTCTCTATATATTATTGCTGAATTTAATCCTGTTAGTAGTAGTAGTAGTACCCGTTTGAGCATGTTTGACATCGAACCCTTGGGAGTAATTGCTACCGAGGTAGTGGTGAGTAAGAGTCACAGTACATTTTGTTATTAGAAAACGTGAGCAAAAGTGTATGCAAATGTATAACTTATGTAAACTTGAAATTATGTAATGTTAAAACATATTAAAACATGTATCAAGTTTTACAGTTTTACTTTCACTTGAAAACTGGATTGCAGCAATACCTGCTTAATTATGATCAAGAGCATTAATTTCCTTAAAAAAATTATATACTTAAAATTTTTTTTGTTAATCAATGTGCCAGCGTGACTGAGTGGATAGTGCGCAGAGCTTCTGAACAAAAAAGCAGTGGTCCAAGTCCTACCACTGGTTGTTTAATTTTCTTCAATTATTTTAAAATATAAAATACTTTTGAAGTTTAATAGAGATTATATACAAACATATATATCTTTAACACTTTAACAAACGAAAAGTTTTTTAAAAAAGCTAAAAATTATAAAAACATCAAAACAACAGGAGAAAATATTTGTTGCATATGTGTCATGATTGAGATACTTATGTTATTAATGTGCTCAGGTAAATAGTCCTAATAAGCTGTGGATGGTCTGGATAAAAAAATTGTCAGAACCTTGATAAAGAAAAAATTTAATAAGACAGTCCTGCTACTCCAGGAGGTGCTGTGTGGAGGCAAAAAAAAAAAAAAACGTAGCTAGAAAAATTTTAAAACTTTCTTTTGACAATTAAAAGTTTTTTTTTGTTACATTTTTTTTTTACTATAAGTTTATGGGTGATACAAAGGATATGTTGAAATGAGATAATTAGATGCACAATTTAAAAGTCCTTAACAAAAGCCACTAAATCAAAAAAATTGAAAGTTATTGCAGTTCAGTGCACTTTAAAATTTTAACTATAGTTCAGTGCACTTAAAAATTTTAACTATAGCATATTGGTGTTTGCAAACAAACACCAAATCATTTTTTAATATAAAATAATTTTTATATTTAAAAAAAAACAAAGAATATATATAAACAAATATATTATTTGTTTATATATATTGTTTATAAAATGTAAAAAATCTATTTATATATTGTTTTATTCAGGATCATATGCAATATAAGTAAACTTTTCTAATAATTACAAGTCTTTTTTGTTCAAACTTTTTTGCTTTGATTTTTTGTATGTATGTTATTATATTTAAAAAAATTGACAAGATTGAAAAAACACAAAACATATTGTCTCATCCAAGTGAAAATTTGAAACTTCAATCTTAGATTTGCCCCTCTCTTGATAATTTCTGATTGCTAAAATTATGTCATCTGCTTCTTAGACCATTAGAAATAATAGACAGTGCTTTTTCATAAGTCCTTGAAGCCACAATTTTTTTTCGTATGTCACATCACTTTGTAGCACAAAATTAGAAAAACAAACTAGAAATATGATTTTTTTAAATTTTTTAGGAAAACTTCTTATATTAAAAAGATATGGAATATACTTTTATGGAATATATTCTAATAAAGACAAAAATTATTTATTTATTACTATTGTAGTAAATACAAACTCTTATCCGTGAAATGTACCAGTTTTGTATCTTTTTGTGCAATTCTATGCAGCATAATTAAAACTAATCAAAAAATGTTAGATAAATGTAAAAGTATAGAAAAGTTCGGTTCGGAAAAGACTTACAAAGACCTATATTTTTACAGATCTGATCAGCTAGTCTCTATAAATCTTTCATGTCATACTTCTTTTTCAGACTCACCCTATCTTCACACTACTTACTATAACCCTAAAGCTGACTGGGATTTTTTTGATGATTTTCTTCATGATAGTTTTTGGGCTGATTGGGGTATGATTTGGGCTGATGGGCTATTTTCTCTCTCTGATTAATGAAACAAAGCCAGTATCATTTTGTCAAATGTGATTGTAGACTCTATATTAATTGGATTTTTTCGTATAGGATTTCTAACTTTAAAAAAACTCTCCAGCATTATTAGTAGGTTATTCCAATGGGTTCGAGTATCCAAAATTAATCAATATTGAGTGAAATATTTTTTACTCAATTCCTCTTTGAGATTTTTCTGCAGTATTTGATTTTTCATTGGTGATAGGCAAAATATTTTAACAATTTTGCAAATCTTTTCTATCAGCGGGCGAATACTTGCATGCCTATCAATTGGATTGTTTCAGATAATAGCTCTAATAACTACAACATTTTCTTTTTCCTTATCCTTCAAATAATATTCTTGTTCTAAATAAGTTGATTTTTTCTCTTCTTGCTAATGAACAACAATTATCATAAAGAACCTTGCCAATTGAATGCCATGCACTAAACACAATTGATGATTAGCATTAATTAACTTTCCCACTTTCTTTATTATCGATGATCCATCTGTTGTTATGGAAACAAGATTGTCTAACAAAATACCAAATTTTTAAAGTTTTTTCTCTAAAAGAGCAATACATTTATCTGCTGGTGTTGATCCATGACCTTTAGTAAGACAAAGACTCCATAATTTATCAAATGCATGTACATTTAAAAATATATAACAACGGTTTTCTACAGAAGTCCACTTGACTAATAAGATGCTAAACCCAACACCTTGATTAGCTTGTGTTTTCGGTTGGCTAAGATGTTTTGGCGTATTTTAGCTACATATTCATTCATAACTTTTAGAAACTTTGGAGTATTAACATAATCCTTAGCACCCTTAATAGTATTCTTAAATCATAAGATGTAAAAAATTTAATAAAATGGTACACCATCTTTGGCTGTCAATTGCACGACAACTACACCAAACAAACCATCAGCTGATTTTCTGAAGTATTTTAATATTTTTGATTACTCGAATTTGTAAATGTGTTTATGTTCATTGGTGTTGACATAATTTTATTTGGTTTATCTGGGTTATCTTTTTAAAAAAAAGTTATATTGTGCTGTATTCAAAGGTTTGCATCCATACCACTCATACTGCTGCCAAAAGCTTGAATTGTTTTTGAACATTTCTTGTATTGACCTGCACTTCTATTTTGTTCCCATATTAAATAATTCTACTGTGATTTTTTATCCATGACTGAAAAGGATAAACACATTAAAATAAAAAAAAATAAAAAAAAGGAAAACATAATAATTTTAGAAGTATCAATTAAGGTCATGTTGAATTAAATTAATGAAATTTTTAATGTTTTTATTGTTTATTAGTAAAAAGAGGTTGTTGTTATGTATAAATTTACTTAATTTATACTAAATGTTGCGCTTAAGTAATTTACCTGTTCTTAAAATGCTCCTTACTTTCTTTTGTTTCTCTTTTTTGAATCTCTATTATGCTTTAAACGGTAGAGCTTTTAAGAACATTCGCACAAGAATTCTTTTGTGCAAATTGTTCAAATAAAACTACTGTTGCATCAATCATTAATAATGTCCAGAGGGAATTTAACCAATTGTTAATTATGTCCCCCCCCCCCCCCCCAAAAAAAAAAAAAATGAAAAAATGATTGCTTAACCAACTCAAACTCCTAGTTAATGTAGTAGCATTCCTTGCATGTTCTCCCTATTTAGTCAGTTGGTATATTTACTGAAGCCCTCGGGAGCTGGCTATTTCAGTATGACGTTAGACTGCTTATCTAAGTATGCAAAGATGTGTATATATATATATATATATATATATATATATATATATATATATATATATCCATTATTTTTTTTTTATGTTAATTTTTTTTTATTCTAGGAGGTCCTGGTTGTGGAAAAGGTACGCAGTGTTCTCTAATCTCCAAAAAGTTTGATATGGCTCACATTTCAGCAGGTGATCTTTTGAGACTTGAAGCTGAAAATGATACAGAAATTGGTTTAATGATCAAAAATATGATGAAAGAAGGGCAGTTAGTTCCACAGGTTTATTTTTTGAAGCTAAAAGTTTTTTTATTCTTTATTGGTTTACATTTAGTTAAAATTTGATTTAACTTTTTTTACCAAATTCAATGTCTATATAATCTAATTCAATGGGTGCACAAATTTATTATAGTTTAGGTATTCAATAAAAAAATAATTTTTTTTTAGGAAATCGTAATTGATCTCTTAAAAGAAGCAATAAGAAAAAACCAACATTCAAATGGAATTCTGATTGATGGTTTTCCTCGTGAATATTCTCAGGGTTTAAAGTTTGAAATTGAAGTACGTTTTTATTTAAATATGTTTTTACGCCCACCACTAAATGGTGAGGTGTTAGTTGAAAGAGCTGTTTTTCTAGTTATATTTTTGAAGCCATAAAATGTTCAGGTTATAAAATTTTTTTAATAAAACATCTGATGTTCAGGTTATAAAATTTTTTAATAAAACATCTGTTGTTTTATTCTTGTCCTATCTCATAACCCTCTAAGTTTTTACAAACACAGAATAACATTCTAAAGATTTAAAAAATATATATATATTTTATAGTAGAATTCATACCCTGCTAATAATTTTTATTATTTTATTATGATTTTTTTGTGTAAAAAAAAGCTGTATACAGTGTTAAATAATAATAAGGTATTTATATCTGACATACTTCTGTTAATTAATATGGTATTATTTGCAACTGGTTGTAAAATATATTTTTAATTTTTAATTGGTAGTATGTTTATATCAAAAGCCAGAAGTTTGCATAGAAAAACAACTCTCTGTCATCTAACTGAAACCGATTGATTCAAAATTTTGTTGTATAATAAAGTAAATTGTATTGGAAGTACAACATGTGTTCAATGACAACATTTATTGAATTGGAAGTACAATGCTACTCAGTGAGAACATCAATGCTACTCAGTGAGAACATCAATGCTACTCAGTGAGAACATCAATGCTACTCAGTGAGAACATCAATGCTACTCAGTGAGAACATCAAGCTCAAATATATAGCTGAAGTTTTAAATCAAAACAGTCTTCAAGTTTTTTTCAAGAGTACTTCAAATGTTGGAGCTTGTGATAAATAAATGCACTTAAACCTGAGTCACTGCTTAGTTAAATTCCATTTCAGGCTAATAACAGTTTGCAAACCTTTGTTACATCTTTAAAATATAACAAATTGGCAACTTTTGGAAATACCAAATTCAACAAATTACCAATACACCAAATTTTACGTTTGCGGAAATTCTACTGTTGAAAATTAAACTTAGTAAAATTAACAGTAAAAATTTGTATTTTTTTCTGTTAACAATGTTAGACTAATAAATAAAAAGTGCAAATTAAGTGGCAGCAACTAAAATACCACAAACTACTGAAATCCAATTTAATAAAAACAACAATATCACCTTTGCAACACCTGGTTTAAAGTATTAGTTGAATCAGAAAATTATAATAAATACTTTTTAAATACAATTAATGACAGTTTTTGTTTTTTGTTTGTCATTTCTTGGCCTGATATTTCAATTTAAGTTATAGTTAAATATTTGTCAAATGTCTTTGAGTAACTTTTTATGGACTTGTTTTTTATTGTTCAAGAGATAAGATAAAAATCCAGTTTTCTGAATGGAATACCTTTTATAAGAACTTTTCTGTTTTAATAAATTCCTTAACTCACAGTATTTTAGAAGATATTTTTTGCTTAAAGTTTTTCTTTAGGTTGTAGCTAAAAGTGTTAAATTCAAATTTACTTCTACATAAGGTAAATTGTAAGTATTGATGCAAAAGTATAATTGACAATTTTATTCAGACTCATTGCAAGGTAAACTGCTGAGAAAATTGCAATCTTTATTAGCATTCCTTTACCTACAGTTTACAATCTGAAGGTAATGTATGATTCTGATGTTTTTACATTGATAAGGAAAATGCATATGGTACATAGTGATTGCACATCAATAAAGATCTGGGAAAGTCAATTCACTTTATAGGAAGAGACCAGCATATAATAGGTGCAGCCATTTGAAGGATTATTGCTAAAGATATTAGATGCAAATTTTATATTCTTAGAAGAGGCCAGTTTATGACACAAAAAAAAGGCAATTTGAGAAGGCAGAAAGCGATTTGAGAAAGCAAGAAAGGCGATTTGAAAAAGCGAGAAAACTGTTTGCTTAAAAAACTAAAGAAAAAGATTTTATTTTCTGATAAAAAGAATTTTCAACAAGACCAGATATTCAACACAAGAAACAACATGTTTCACTCTGTGAAACTATTAATGAAGTCTTGATTGTCACAAAGACAAAATTTTCCTGCTACAGTCTCGGTGCTAAGTGTTATCAGCAATGAATAAAACATTATGACCCCTAATTTTTTTTTACAAGGCTTAAAGGTGACTACTGATGTTTACCTGGAAGTTTTTTTACTGTGGGTATGTAGTTGTACTATTTGTTATCTGGTCAGCGATGCTGGGCCAGATAACAAATCTTCATCCAACATTTCAACCTTACTATACTTGCTTTTGTTTCCAAAAAAGGTAGGTCGTTACATGGCATGATGTCATTACCCTTTATGTCTACCAAATATCTTGACAATTGACCTGCAAGTGACATTGTTTTGGTTAATAGTATATTCTTTATTTTAAACAATTTTATTTGACAAAAATTTAATCAGATAAAGCAGATTTACATTCAGATTTGACTCAGTAGTTGCTTGTAGTTCTGGTTCATCATCCTTAAACACTTGTTATACATCATCATATATATTTTTTTGCTGGATTGAGCAAGTGCCCATTTCTGGCATAGGAATAAAGACAATAACAGTTGCATCTAACAAACATGATGCAGGTGGATGAAAATTAAACGTAATTGAGTTGGGCTTCAAAACTGATTGAAACCCTTGACAAGTTAATTATAGATGGTAGAACCTGAAATGGGATTGGGCATTGGTTTGAAGTATATCTGTTTGCTCTGTAAAGGGTTCTAATATGTGAGGAAATGTTTTGAAGCCAAACCCATTTATTTGCTTTGAATGTGTCAATTCATAAATTCAAATAAACCATCAGTAATTAAAACTTATTAATAACAGTTATAACAACTGATATTTGTCATTGTTTAATGTTCTTTTTCACATGTTTTTTTTTTTAAGAATTACTTTTATTTTTTTAGTTTAATAAGACTTGCAATTTTGTGAATTTTAAATTCCCAAAAATAGTTTGTATACACTTATAACAAAAATAATAATATATACCTATTTTTGTTAGAACTTCATTTGCCAGTTTTTTTTATTTACAACAGTCATTTGGTCATCTGATATGTACTGTTTAGTCTTGTAGTGCAATCAGTGGTCATAGACTTCCCACACTTCTCAATAAGTCTCTCAAATGCCACACTTGATTTTCTAATTTTTTATACAATTTGTTTTGTTTCTGATATAGTTGCACTATAATGTTCTTAAATTTTTTTTTAATAAGAAGTGTGTGAGTAATATATTCTGGTAGGTGTGTGTGAGTCATATATTCTAGCAGGGATAAATTAGTTGGGTCAAACTGAGAATGGGTGTTTACCTTATTTGTTTTATGTTCAAACGATTCAGGCTCATCAGATTTTATAGCTCCAAGAATTTCATGTAATAGTCTGAAAAGCTTTAACCATATTGAACCCATTGTCTGAAACAATCAACTTTACTTAATCTCCACTTATAACCCCATGGCAAGATATTTTTTTAATGTCCTGCAAGCATCTCACCCATGTGCAGATAATATAGTGCTATCAAATTTACGAAAACATATTGTGTTTAATTGGCGATTGTGTCATAAAAACACTCAGATATTCCTAGAAATAATGCTGAGACCCTTCTTTTTCTGACCATCAAGACAAATTGTTAATTTGTGTGCACAAATCAACAAGTCTTTTAATCGTGCAGCTTGTAGTTGAAAACATTTATTTGTTTGTTCAGTGTTGCAGACCCTGCAAAATAAAAATTAAAGTTAAAATTATATCGTAGCATTAGTATTGTAATTACTACAATTATGGGTAAATATGTGAAGTAAAATTGAAATAAATAATTTTTGATAAATTACTGGTAATGTAAATTTGCTAACACAGCTTATATTGTAATATTTTTACATGAATTATGGTAGTTCTACATTTTCTAACTTAAAATAATTATGGTTTTCTAACCTAAAAATAATTATGGTTTTCTAACCTAAAACAATTATGGTAATTCTACCTATTCTAACCTAAAATAATTTTTAATAACCATGAAATAATAACTTGGTTTTTATTTTGGTTACTTCAAGTTGTTTTGCATTATTTCAGTTATATTGGGTCTTAAAATATTTTGTCTTTTAGACGCACTAATAATAAATTTTTCCTCAAACATCAGTTTTTTAGAATTAGCTCCCTTTATCATGTTTACCTGACTCATATAACTTGCAATCTTTTAAATTGTCTGATAATCATTATCTTGCTTTATAAATTTTATCTTTTCTCTTCCAGTAACTTCAAACTATTAGCAGTTGCTTGCAGCCTTGTTAGAAATGAAGATCTTTAAAAAAAAAAAGTTACTGGAATTTTTTCCAGGCAAAAATTGTGACACATGCTCCCTCATTATTCTTGTCCTGAACTAAACATGTGGATGTGTCACTTCTTCATCTTAAATAAAAAATTTCCATAAATAACTTTCAAATTTCTTACCAGCCACAAAATCGAATATTTAATTTCTATTTTTATTTAATATTAACAAAAATATCACTGTGGTGTACCAGCACATAACAAAAATATCACTGTGGTGTACCAGCACATAACAAAAATATCACTGTGGTGTACCAGCACATAACCTTAAAAATGTGTAAGAATTTTTCAACAATATTCCTTAATATTTTCTAATATTCCTAAATTTTCATCAAAGAAAATTTGTCAGTCAAGTTCACCGGATGCAAATCTTTTATATTAATTTGTGCAGACCATTATAGAGCAATGTTTGTGAGAGAGAAGATCAATAGGCTCATCAGGAAGAATGTCTAAACATCAAAAAAAAATTCAAGTTATAGAAAAAATATTTCACAGGAAGTGGGAATTGGTTTAACTATTTATGTAATAACTGTAGTTATTTTGCAACCAGGAAATTGCATCAACTATATTAAAGTTAAATAATTAATCATGAAAAAATTCTTTAGAATTTGGATAATTTTAGCCTAGTCATTTGTTTTTATAATTTTTAAAAGGTACTTATTTTCATATCTGCAATTAGAAATTAATTCAGACTTTTTTTTTAGTAAATTTTCCTGATCCAAATGAGTAATAATTTCAAATTTTTTTGTAAACTTAGTGTACATTTTTGGAACTTCCTGTGAAATATTTTTTCTACAACTTGAATTTTTTTTTTTTTTTATGTTTATACATTCTTGCTGATGAGCCTACTGATGGCGAAACAAATTGTTGAAAAAAATTAGATAAGTGTTTTTACTAATTTATGAATATATATATATATATATATATATATATATATATATATATATATATATGTATGTATATATAAATATATATATATGTGTATATATATATATATATATATATATATATATATATATATATATATATATATATATATATATATGAATATATATATATATATATATATATATATATATATATATATATATATATATATATATATATATATATATATAAGCATATGTTTAAATATGTGTGTGTATATATACTAGAGATGTCATGAATATTCTGTGCCTGTTCATATTTATTAATCGAATACCAGGTTGTAACAAAAAAAAAAAAAGGAAATAAAATGGATTACATATAACTATTTTTTATTTTAACAAATATTTAGCATATTTGCTACTTAAAATCTATAGATGGTAATTTATAATAAAAACATTTTTATGGTTTGACGATAGCAAATGATTAGAAATTCCTCATAAATAATATATACTTACAAAAATAATCATTGACTGCCACTGTTCATTGCCACTGGCAAGTAATAAAAAAGTTTTAGCAAGTTTTGTTAAGATAATGTTTTGCATTTGTTGACCATAACTTGTAAGGATTTGTTGTCCAATTTAAGCAAACACATTCTTGTAAAAACTAATTTTATTTGCAATTTAATTTTTTCTTTTCCACACCTTTATATGTGTACATACTTTTTGTAGAGATGGTTTGATTGTTTTCATTTACATTTCTTTTTAAGTGGAGATAAATCATCACCGATGCTACTAGACATTCATAGGTGTCAAGCAGTCTTTCACTGATTCTTTCTCTGAGAAAGATTGTGATTTGTATCACACGTCTTTCTCAGAGCATTTAAAATCTTTTTTTGTTTTGCTCATTGTGTTTTAACTAATCTTTTGAAGTTAGTTTTGGATTGTGTGTCAATAAAAAGTTCAACCGTGTAATTGACATTACCAATAAAGTTAAACCATGCTTTAAATTCAGGTTGCAATGAAGATATCATTTTAAATAAGTTTGGAGTTTTTTGTATATCTGTCTATAGAAACTTCTGAAACCTCAGAAATGCATGATATACCTAAACTGGTTTGTAATCTTCTGTAATGGTTTGAAGATTATGATATATTTATAAATAACTATAGTTAAAACAATTTGTTGTAACTGTCAATAAATGGTTGCTGTGACACTGCCTAGTTGAAATGAAAAAAAAACATCCACAGTGTAGTTAACATATGGACTTCAATGAAGCAAGTTGGAATCCACAAAACAACTAAGTGTTGTTGAATGTTTAACAGCCAAATATTCATTGCTTTTGGGGAGCGTCTAGCCAAATATTCAAAATACAGCAAAATCACTATTTTTGACATCTCTAATGTATACACATGTACACTTTAAGGGTAATTTTAATCAAGTTTTTTTTTTTATTTGTTTAATTCATACAATTTATAAATTTCTATAAATATTAGGTGTGTCCAAGCTCACTAATTTTGTACTATGATTGCCACGATGAAATTTTGGTAGAGAGACTTGTTTCTCGTGGTCAGCAAAGTGGTAGAATAGATGATAACATAGAAACAATTAAAAAGCGGTTGCAATTATTTCACACAAAAACAACGCCATTGCTAGTTGATTATAAAGATAAAGTTCAAGTTGTAAGTAAATATTTTTTAAACAATTTTACTTATAAATATTTTTTATAATTATTTTTATACATTTACATAGCAAAGTTTTATTAAAATTATAATGTAAAATTTTAGATTGATTCCAGTAAATCTATTGAGGAAGTTTTTATTGAATCAAGTCGAATTGTATCATGTCTCTTGGATGGTAAACATAATTTTTAAATATATAAATATTTTTCCTATTTGGTTTACAAATTGCAATCTATTAATTCTTTTTTTTTTGAATATATAAAAAGAATTATAGATTTGTTATAAAATAAATTTCTTAAAAACTTTTAAAAGGAACACTTGAAATCTTTAATCCAAAATATTCTAACTCTCGAAAAATACGAAATATTGCTACAGAAGAGGTTCTTTCACCTTCAAAGGTTCAGATTATAGAAGGTAGTTCTCAAAGAAAACATTTGTTCAACGAAGACTTGAAAGACAAATGTGCTATATTTGTAATTGGTATGTATATATTAGTTTATAAATATATTGTTAGATAAATATTGTATATATGTATGTATGTATGTATGTATGTATGTATGTATGTATGTATGTATGTATGTATGTATGTATGTATGTATGTATGTATGTATGTATGTATGTATGTATGTAATGTATGTATGAATGTGTATGTTTGTATTTATGTATACATACGTTTATATACACCATTGGTTAACTTTAGGAGGACCTGGATGCAGAGAAGAACTAATTTGTCAAAATATTTCTTCAAAATTTGGATATTCTTACATATGTATTGGAGAATTATTGAGAAATGAAGTTTCATCAGGCAGCAGCAGAGGCTCTATGTTAAATGATGTAATGAAGACAGGTGATCTTGTCTCACAGGTATTTAAGGGTTATTGATATTTTTTTGAGTATTAATTTAATTTTAATTGTTTCAACATATTTTTTTTATCATGTAATAAATTTAAAGGCTGTAATTATTGACTTACTTGAAGAAGCAATACTAAAATCAAATGAAAGTACTTTTTTGATACATGGATTTCCAAGAGAGGTTCAACAAGCCATTTACTTTGAAGAAAAGGTTTTTATTTCTTGATGTATAATTTTTTATAAGAAAAACAGTTATTATATTAGTGATTTATAATTTTTTTTTTTTTTTTTTTAGTTATTAAAGCCAAGTCTGGTTTTGTATTTTTCATGCATAACTGATGAGCAGTCAGAAAATTTATCTGTTGGCAATAACAATGAAGATATAGTTCTTAAAAGAAAATATATATTTGAAAATCAAACAAAACAAGTGATAGAAAAATATTCCAGTGAAAGTATCCTTCATGAGGTATTGTTATAAAATAAAAGTTTTTTTTTAAACTTATGTTGAATAAAAAAAAAAAATTTGTTTAGTGTATGTAATCTGTTCTACATACAGCCAAAGTCAAAATAAAATTTTTTCGTACAAAAAGTAACCAAAATTTTATTCCAGACAAAACTATAAATTTTGTAAAATAAATTTATTTAATGAAGGAAATATGCATTTTTTTATGGTAAAGGTGATGGTTTGGTACCTTCTCTCCCAAGTAATGTCCAGTGGTGAGAAGACATAAAAATTTGCAGCCAAATATTATATCTATCTTTTGATACCAAGTTACATGTTTTTTTTTGTTTTTTTAATTGAAATCATATTATTGAAAAAAAAAACAAAAAACTTGAACTTTTTATTGTCACTTAATTCTACGATATGTTCAAATGTCAAAGTTTTAAAAAAACATAAATAATAACATATATTTGTGTTTAACAAATAGTTGTAAAATTAATAACTTTTTTTTATTTTGTCTTTTTTTCTTTATCCATTAGCCAATAAGGTTGTCATTAGTGGCTTTAATATTTATCACACTGAATGGCTTGGCTTTAGTTCTGACCCTACTGGCACCAAAGCTCAAAATTTATCTCTTTCTTAATCTTGTACTTAGATAATTCATTGTGTTTTCCAAACTTACCTTCACTTCTTCACTTACCTTCCCTCCTTCACTTACCTTCACTTCTTCACTTACCTTCACTCCTTCACTTACATTCACTCCTTTACTAACTTTCACTCCTTCACTTACCTTCACTCCTTCACTTACATTCACTCCTTCACCTACATTTACTCCTTCACTTACATTCACTCCTTCGCTTACATTCACTCCTTGGTTTGTAGCTTGTCTCTGACTCTAGCTTCTCCTTGTTCACTTTTGGGTGATTCAGATGATGTTATGATCTCACTAAAACTTGTACTTTTTCTTCATTAGATTCAATGTATCATCACACTTCTTATTGCTTTCTTGAAAAATGATTGGGGTACTATATTGTGATATCAAGTCAAGCCTCACACTACCTTATGATTTTTTCCTTCTTGTGTAGCTACTACTTATGTAATCATTTCTTTTATCTATTTCACAAGACAAAACATTATTTTCAGACATATTAAAAGAAATTGATGCAAAAAAGTTATTGTCTAATGCTGATTGATGCTAGGCTCCATTCTCAGAATACTGAATGTAGTATTTTATCTCACTAACATTGTATTTCATTTCATTATATATTCTATTTCATCAAGGGCTTCTCATTTCCTGTAAAAATCAACTCCTGAAACAAAAATGTTTCATTTTCTGGGATCCTGGGAAATTGTAAATTCAACAAGTACACAAAAAGTGTGTAATTGATACTACTATTTTCAATGTAGTTTTAAGGACTGTTTGGAAGGCAATAATAATACAGAATTTATGTCCAATATGTGTTTATAATTTAATTTTTAAAGTATTTTAGTAAGCCAACTAAATTTTTATTCCATCTTTCAACAATTCTCTGTTGCACATACTGCAGCATTTTATCAGGTAACCAATAAAGTTTGTGCGGTTTTTCCTAATTCCTATTAACTAACAAAAGTATTATAAGATAATGGTTGTGGTAGGGAGATAATTTTGTTTATAAATTTAAACTTATTTCAAGGAGAATCAATCAGTGTGTTTCATAAGTTTTATTAGTACAATTTAAATTTAAAATTCTATGGCTGTGTCAAATGCAATAATTCGCGCCTGTTTACTTTATGAATTTAAACTTGGCACCAAAGCTGCAGAAGCTTGTTGTAAGATAGGCGCTGCTTTTGGGGAAGGTACCATAGCAGAGCGGACGGGTCAAAAGTGGCTCAAAAAATTTTCTTCTGGAAATGAAAACCTTGAAGATGAATCAAGATTTGGAAGATAATCCACCGTCAACAACAAGGATATCAAGCTGGCAATCGAGCAGGACTCCAAAAAAAAAAAGGATTATGTACTGCAACAAAAAACAAACATTTCACTGGTTAGCCAGTAGCGATCCAGTACTGATGACTTCTAAACCACGTATTCACCAACAAAAGGTTTTACTGTGTGTATGGTGGACTACAGCAGATATCGTTCACTATGAGTTGGTACCAAGTAGACAAACCATTAGTGCTGAGATATACTCAGTCCAATTGGACAGAGTTTTGGTTGCTCTTCACCAAAAGCAAGCAGCTTTGGCAAACAGAAAAGGTTTTGCATTCCACCAGGACAACGCCAGACGGCACACCACAAAAATCACGCAGGAATCTCTAGCTCGTTTACAATGGGAGATTCTACCTCACCCTCCATATTTACCAGACCTTGCCTCAAGTGACTATCACCTGTTTTTGGCCCTGGATAATCATAAGAGGAATCGACAGTTTCAAAATAGAGAAGATCTCGAAAATGAGTTAAATTTTTTATTTTTTAGCTCCCAAACTCAAGACTTTTATAAAAATGGAATATACAAGTTTGTTTCACAATGGGAGAAAGTCATTCTTGCTGAAGGAGACTATTTTTCAGAATAAACTTTACTAAAACCGTTTTTTTGTGTATTTATTTATGGACCTACAAAACCGCACGAACTTTATTGGTTACCTGATAATTGAAAAATCAATCAATTTTTTTTTGCGCAATCTAATACAAACAGTAATACACCCTCTGCGTCAAGAAGGGATGCGTTGTATCGACCAAGTCTTTCAGTTCTAAGTTTGATTGGTTGTAATATGGTTACTACAGTCTGCACCATTAAATATCCTTCCTCTGAAATATTGTTAATATTTTTGTGTTTAAAATCTATCAATGCTTTTAATATACATGTTTTTAATGCAATAAACTGCTGTAACATTGCAAGAAGACTATTAGCACAGTCGTTAGCGTACTTGCCTCAAAAGCTATAGATCCGTGGTTCAATCTTTATAACAACGGTAAGGAAGGAGACATTAACTTCCTTTCAAATGCTCTTCTGCAGTGCTTTGTGATAAGATGGTAAGAACCTTTTGGGGCACCTAAAAATTAAAAAAAAAGATTTTTTTATGGTAATATCATGCTTTTATTAGACAAAGTTTTTCTTATAAATTATATTTTGCTTTAGCATTGACAGAAAAGACATCTACAGTTGCCAATTTTTAAACAACTACTTTTACAGATTTCATTTTTATAAATGATGTAATTTTACGTTAAACATTTCCATTTAGCCTTTTTTGAGTTACTTCAATTTCTTCTTCCTTATGAAGATTTTTTAAATGATGAAGAAAACCACTTGTTGAAAATCCTTTATACATTATTGTTGCTTTACATATATTACAAGTGGTAGATTTTGTGTTTTTATCTTTTGTAAAATTTTGCCATGCCTTATATCCACTTTGAAATGATGCAGTCAGGGCCAGATTTATCAATAGACTGACTAGGCTGCGTCCTAGGGCCCCACAATTATAGGGGCCCTAATATGTCAAAAAATTTTAGTTTTTTTTATTATTTTACTATTTTTTACTAATTTTATAGATAAAAAGGGCTCCAAAACATAACCCGTCCTAGGGCCCCCAAAAATGTAAATCCGACCCTAGATGCTGTAAATTTATTAAAGATTTAAAATACATTAAAATAGATTAAAATATACTAAAATATAAAATTATATTACCTACAATTTAATCCTGAAATTCTGTGTGAAAAAAAGTGTGCTGATTTACATAGTGTGTGAAAAAAAAGTGTGCTGATTTACATAATAAAATATTTTTAATTATTTGTAACTACTAAACATATATTATTTAAAAATTCACTAACTACTTTTTTTGCACCAATCAACTTAAAGTTGTCTGCGGTTATTTTATATTCAACATCTCAGGGACTGCCTTTTGTTCATTGTAATTTCTTGCAATTGTGATTTTTTATTAGATTGGTCAACAATATTTTTGCAGTTTTAGTTTGTGTCCTAGATAGATCAATTTTAATTATTGAATTTGATTTTATAAATTTTGATTTGTTTATTTGAATTAAATATATTGCAACTTATAACAATAAAATTAAATTTTGTATGCTGTATCTTAGAACATATAAAATTTAAATAAATAAATCGAATCAATTTATAAATCAAATTCAATAATAATATTTGATCTATCTGGCACATAAACCAACACTTCAAAATATTGGTGATTTAAATGGCATCTATACTCTATTTTTTTCTAATTTTTACCAAAATTTATTACAAGAGGAAAAAGGAAGTAAATAGTACTCAAATTTTAAGTGATAATCATTAATAGTAATAGTAAAATATTTATGCTGTGACTGATAATTCGGTTAGTGTATCAAGTACACTTGGACAACTATATTACTGTTTAGTTACATTATTTAAAATCCATATGTCAAGTTTGCTTTAAAAGAGTTCATGGAAATAGCATTAACAACATCAGAAGGTAATCTATTCCAGTAAAAAGATGTCCTGTTTGCTACTGTTATATTTATTTCTGTTTGTTATTGTTATATTTATTTCTGTTTGTTACTGTTATATTTATTTCTGTTTGTTACTGTTATATTTATTTCTGTTTGTTACTGTTATATTTATTTCTGTTACTGTTATATTTATTTCTGTTTGTTACTGTTATATTTATTTCTGTTTGTTACTGTTATATTTATTTCTGTTTGTTACTGTTATATTTATTTATCATGCAGCTTATGATCTGCATTTTTTTGTTTCAATCTTACAAAAGTGTTCTCCAGAAGATTTTTAATCTTACAAAAGTGTTCTCCAGAAGCATCTTCAATACTGTCTAGACTATTTAACAAATGCTTAATAGTTTCTTGTTTTTCTGTCTGTTAGATAATGGCGTGGTTCCAGTTTTGAAAACTCTAACTATTGTCTAATCAGTTTTTACGATTAGTAAAGTCTTTGAATCTTTAATTAACGATATCGTAAAGTGATGGTTAAATAATTTTATAACTTCAAGAGAAAAATTGTTTAATCATTCCTTTCTAACTGCTGTATTAAAGTTGTTCTTAATGG